TTCCTGTTATTCTTTTCCTGTCCTAGTTGTTTGCTTAGTTTTCGTTTTAGTTTTTTAGGTTCAGTTATTGATAATAGTGAGTTTGTCGTCATTTTACTGTTCATAGTTTTTGATCTTCTTCTATTTCTTAGATAAGTCCCTTTAACATTTCATATAATAAGGGCATGGTGATGATGAACTCCTTTAACTTTATCTGGGAAGCACTTTATCTGCCCTTGCATTCTAAATGATAGCTTTGCTGGATGCAGAAATCTTGGATGCAGGTCCTCACCTTTCATGACTTTGAATACTTCTTTCCAGCCACTTCTTGACTGAAAGGTTTCTCCTAAGAAATCAGCTGATAACCTTATGGGAACTCCTTTGTAGGTAACCCTCTCCTCTCTCTTGCTGCTTTTAAGATTCTCGCCCTATCTTTAATCTTGGGTAATTTAATTATGATGTGCCTTGGTGTATTCCTCCTTGAGTTTAATTTCTTTGGGACTCTCTGAGCTTCCTGGACTCCCTGGAAGTTTATTTCCTTCACTAGATTGTTCAAAAACATTTTCAGTTTCTTGTTCTTCCTCTTCTCCTTCTGTCACACCTATGATTCGGATGTTGGAACTTTTAAAGTTGTCCCAGAGGTTCCTAAACCTCTTCATTTTCATGAATTCCGGTGTCTTTATTCTGTTCCGATTGGATGTTTTTTTCTTCCCTTTGTTCCAACTTGTTGATTTGAATCCCAGTTTCCTTCCCTTCACTGTTGGTTCCCTGTATATTTTCCTTTTTTTTTCACTTGTATAGCTTTCATGTTTTCCTTCATTTTGCAACAGAATTCAGTCATTTCTGTGAGCATCCTGATCACCATTGTTTTGAACTGTGCATCTGATAGGTTGGCTATCTCCTCATCACTTAGTTCTTTTTCTGGAGTTTTGATCTGTTCTTTCATTTAGGCCATAAATCTTTGTCTCAGCATACCTGTTATGTTGTAGGGAGGGAGGGAGGCTGTATGTTGGGAAGGGGTCAGAGAGGGAAGAATGAGCTTGCTTGCTCCCCTCTCACCCCACTTCCCGTCACTTCCCTAGCTTCTCACAAGTGGATTGTGCCCTTTCAGGTGCTGATTCCAGGGTGGGAGGATTGGTGTAGGTTCTAGGACCCTACAGGTCTCTCCAATGGACTTTCCTGTTGGGAGTTTCTCCCGCAGCCACAACCCCCATAGGTTTTTATGGCCAAAGGTCTTGAGTCTTTAGTTTCCTGGTCAGCCAGCCCCTGCCTCACCCAAGCAGTCCACAGCCTTGCCGAGGGTCCTCTCGCTGCCTGTCTCCACCCCTCCTACTGGTCTGAATGAATGTTTCTTCATGAGCTCCTTGGTTGTTAGAGTTCCATGCAGTTTGGTTTTTGGCAGTTCTGGTTGTTTATTGTTTTTAAACTGGTTGTTATCCTTCTTTTGGTTGTGTGAGGAAGTGAAGTGTTTCTACCTATGCATCCATCTTGGCCAGAAGCCCCCCTAAAGATTTTTGTATAAGAACCAAATATTCAGTCATTCCCTTGCAGTCATAGGACTGCCCCCAATATTGTCATTTATAAGAAAATCTTTGAACAACTGAAGGTCAACATAGAAGAGCAATTTCAGTTAGGACTAATTTATTTACACTTTCTTTAAATTTAGAAATCCTAAAAGTTCGTGGAGACAGGCAGGAGGGACAATGATCAGAAGAACCACCATATAGAGGAATTTTTAATCATTATTTTTTTCTACAACATTAAAGTCAATAATGGCAGGCAAGCAAGTATAAGGATCCTATGAGCTTAGGGGACAAACCCTTAAATAACATTTTACAAATAAGGAAACAAAGGCTCAAAGAAAGTAGGTGATTTAAGATCATGTAATTGATTTGTGTGATATATGGAAGTATTCTAGAAAGAAAGCAGAATTTTGGTAAAGTTATTGCTCTTTGTTCAGTATCCTTAGGGCTAAGAGGGAAATATCAAGGAAATGTAAAAGAATGTAAAATTAAACCAAATTTTTAAAACCTCAATTGTATGATATTTGTTAGAGTTCATTATTAATTTTAACATACTATTACTATTGCAAAAGGTCTTTTCTTTTAATCTAGGCACAAATAAAAGAGTAACCTTGAGTAGTTTTGTAGCAGGATTGTCTCTGTTCTATTTTGTTCAACTTTATAGTTTTTTTATTTGAAACCCATATCAAATCTCACCTTCCAGTATTTTCCTTACCTTTCCAACCTATATTGAAAACCTCTTTCCCCTGAAATGATTTTTATCTTCCATATGCACCAGAAACTATTTTGCATGCCATTCTTTGGTAGTACATTCTTCAAAACAACATTTAGCACCGTCCTATATATTTCAGGTGTTTTGTAAATAATTTGTGCATTCTCTTTGCCCCCAATAATTCCACTTCTGAGAGGTTATAAAAGGAACTAATAAGAGATATGCTGTCAGGTGAACAGCAAAGATATGCATCGTAACATTTATATTGTCAAAAAAATTGGAAAAGTACCTAAAATATCAAGTTGACTATATAAATCATGATTTAATTATAAATGACCTACTTTACAGACATTTAAAATAATTTTGTAGAGAGAGAGTTCATTTTTGAGGGTGTATTTAAGTGGGAAAAGGAGCTCTTAAAACAGTATGTGCAATGATTTAATGTTCCTAGAAATGCATATAGGTGGCATATACCAATAGTTGAACCCAATTATGCATAAGTGCTGCGATCTCTAGTGATTTTCAATGTTGTTGGAGTACTTCTATGTCTTTTCTATAACAAGTAGTAACCAATCATGAGAATTTTTTTAAGGCTATGCAATTAGTTCAGAAAATAAGTTATTATTGTGTTAACAGAGGAAACTTCACTGTCCAAATTTTTATACTTTATTTTGAAGACCTCTGTGATGAGCTCGCAAAGTACATGCTAAGCATTATAATTAAGCCTGCAGTCTTCAACTAAGACAGAGAAATATTAACTTAGTACTTCTGACTTAACAGACTACTGAAGTTGTTGAAAATGCTATAGTTTTAAGAATGAAATAAAAATGGAACCACCTCACAAATTTCAATGAGCTATACACAGCCCACTGAATTTTAAGAACTAATTTCTATAGTGGGGAAAATTAACTTTGGAAATAGATAAACCTCATATTAAATCTTGGCTCTGCCAGTTGCTAACTTCACAGGTTTGAGCAAAATGTAAATGACTGAGTTGTAAGGGTCAAACGAGATCCTCTATGTAAGCCACCTACTAAGCATGAAATACTGTTAGCAGCTTAACAAAATACAATTTTCACAAGCATCACCATCAACATACTTGTCATCTGTGTTCCTTGTTAATGAAACATCACCTATAGCACAATGTCTTTATGTGCTGGGCTGTAGTAGTACTGGTTCACAGGGCTATACTTGCCAGCTGGACCTACCGTCCAGGTGGGCCTTGGAAAATTTGGTATCTGGAGCAAAGACTTACTTGTGCTGCTTGACTCAGAGAAGGCCTAGGGCAGTTGTGGCTTCAGAAGACCCCTTGTGAAGTCATTAAAACCAGACCCCTTGTGAAGTCATTAAAACCAGACCCCTTGTGAAGTCATTAAAACCAGAGAGGGGGTTATCCATAGTGAGTACAATGGCATTTTGGTGTTTTCCCACAAACAGGAGAGACCATGAGCTGCAGGTCCATCTCCCCAGAAGTGCTTTGAATACTTCTATTGATGATTTTCAGTTCCAATAAAGACACTATTTTGCTGCCTACCTCTCTCTTAGTTTTAATGTGTTCTCTTGGAAAATAAGCATAATTCAATTCCACTTACCTCATAGGAATTAATTAACTAATACATATAAAGCATTCTGACCACATAATGTCACATAGGTAGCACATAATATCATTAGAAGGCAGAATGTGATTACCTTGATTGGTATTTTTTCAGAAAGTAGAGCTAATACTCATTCCTACCTGATGTGAAAATTCTTCTACACCCAATAATCATTGACAACGGCATGTAATTAGCCAATCTAGAAAATGGCCAAATGTCAGGATGCCTACACTGATATGTAACATTTTTCACTTTAAAATTCTTTAGATAGAAATAAACTTCCTTCAATACTTAAAACCTCATTTACTCCAAAATTGCAGGCAGTTTATAAAAGAAGTAATAGTTTCTACTGTCACAGTGAACATGAAATGCATGCTAGTGTGTCCGGTACTATAACTTAATGATTCATTTCTATTTGTAAATCATTGGGGGGTTGTTTGGTTGATGGCATGCCAGAGAGAAATGCACTTCTTTGTCAATACAAATAACCTGTATTTTAGGACGAGGGTCTATATGTGCAGTTATTTAGTTCATAGGCTTAAGTTGGTTTGTGCTGTCTGATGCTAGATTCAGTTTTCGGGGCATGGCATCTGTTAATTTCCAAGCACAGAAAGTCATATATATATATATATAAAGTCTCAGCTTAACAAATAATTTCTTAAGATATTAAGTGATTTTTCTTTTAGTTTATTTGCTAGAAAAGCTAGTACTTAATTTGAAGTACTCTTCTAAATCACCTGCAGAATTTCATGGCCTTATGTTTTGAGTAAATTAATTAATAAAAGGAAGTGATGTCTCTATTGACTCCTAGGAAAAAGAAAGTGTCAGCAGCTACCTATTAAAGAAAACTTGTTTTTCTCCTATTACAGTTCATTTTTGCCTAGTAATATTTGGGCATTTACAGAATCTTTTAGACATAAATATGCATAAGGCATAAAGGTTGCCTTTGAGAAGTTCAGTCCCATGGGGGCAGGTACAGCAAATGGACTGTCACCTAAGAGGCGCTGACAGTGCCACAATGGAGTCGGGCGTGGGGTTTTGTGGGTGTGTAATTCCGACTGGTGGAAATAACAGATAATTTTACATGTCACAAAATTAAATTCAGAAGTTAATCTAAAATATTTGACATATTTTTTTTCTTCTGATGAGATCATCACCTGGTGTTGATTATTTTTTCGTTTTCTCTTTTAGAGACGCCCAAGCAGATGGCCTGCAATGAAGTTTCGAAGAGGTTCTGGCCATCCTGCCTATGCAGAAGTTGAACCAGTGGGAGAGAAGGAAGGTTTTATTGTATCAGAGCAGTGCTAAGATTTTTAGGACAGAACAGCACCAGTGCTGGCTTACAGGTGTTAAGACTAAAATTTTGTCTATACCATAAAGATACACACACACACACACACACACACACACACACACACACACACACACACACACACACACAAGGCCTAAGCTGCTGTAGCCTGAAGAAAATAAAATTTTTGGACAAGCCCAGCCCAGGAAGGGTATAAGTAAGACTAAAACTTATATGAGATACTACTTCCCACTGAACATAGAATTCCCTAGTGGGATGGCATCTATAGTTCACTCAGAACATCTACTGTGAACTTAACAGAAATATAACAAGATTACAATGCTGTTGGCTTAGGTGCAGGGTTGCAAAGAGATTGAGAAAAAATACTAACAAAACTTTAGTTCACAAGGGATCTGCACCTTTGGTTCAAATATTCTTCTCTGATATCTCAAAGGTAACTGTGTTCCAAAGCCTGAACCCTTTCACTCAAAAGAGCAATGATGAATGTTTCAAGACTGCTGAGAAAAATAGCTCATGCAGGAGCAAAAACAAACAAAAAATAAGAGATTTTCTAACTTTTCATCAGACGTGTGGCCAAAGGATTGTGGTTTTCTGGTCTAGATCCACCTGTTCCAACTAATTCATTACTTTATAGGATGAATCTTTTATCTGCACAGGAGGTTTAAACTATGCTTCCCACTTTCTTGTTAATGAATGCCCTTTCTATGATCTGTAACAGAATTTTCAAACTTTTAGCTAAGGATTAGGAAAGAGGGAGTAGCACATGAGGCTTTCCATTCTCACTCCTCAGAATAAAACTCCTGATTTGTTTTATGAAGCATGAAGTCTTATGAAGCCACAGTTGCTCTTGGCTGAAGGAAACAAAAGGATGAATAGTTCCTTAATCATTTTTGAAACAAAAATATTAAGGGATTCTAAGTATATGGGTATTTTTTTTACTTTTTGCCATTTCAGTACGAAAGGCCCATTTTATTGTCAATTCCTTTCTAAGAAGCCATTCAAGTCAGCATATCCCTGGTGATAAAAGGAATGAAAGAACCCTGCTGAATCATACAGTAATTTTCTTTAAAGCACATAGTAGTTACATAAATATATATATAAATATATTTTTGTTTATAACTAACACAAGGCAGGCTCTTGTGACTCTAAGAGTGCATTTTGTCATCAAGACAAAACAAATGCAAGGTGCATTACTGCATACTTTACCATAGAGTTGTAAAATAATCCTTAATATTAGAATATTTTTATGTCACTTAGCAAAAGTGGTTCAATTGATTGAAGTGCCGATCATTTTCCTGCCTATTTGAGCCACCCTTTTGTTCATATCAACACCTTCTCTCCTTGGCTCAATACAGCAGATGCCAAAAGCTCCTTCAACAGAGCTCTCATTTGCCCTGTAATGAAAATCCAGATTTTGAAATTTCGCCCTGAACGAAGATAGATCCACTAGTTTGAGGAGGAAAGTGGGTAATATATATATACCGAGCTCCTAAAGTTTAAAATTCAGGTACTATGTGTACAATTTCATCAACATCTTAACCCATGAAACTTACATCCTGTGCCAAGAAGCTGTTGGTTTTTGTAGGGTACAGTGTCTACCATTTGCAGATTCGGGTACTAAGAAGCAGAGATGTCTTAAACAGCACTTTACTAACAGCTTAGCATCTGTACACAGTGTCTACATTGAATGACATCAGTTCACTAACAGTATCATATTTATATTCACAATTACCTAACAAACTAGTACCATTTTCCATCACATATATTTTGCTTTACATTTTTAAGTAACTGATGAGGGTGGTGATTTTTTCCTAATCTACTTAGTTAATAATTGCAAAAAAAAATGTCAAGCAAGGTGATTAAAGGATGTGATGACAATCTCTCTGCCATAGCTTTGTTCCGTTTATATGAAATATCCCAACTTGTTTTTTGTGGAGTAGGTATGATCAGATAGGGATAACCAAACGACTTGCCAATGTAACTGGTGCAACTGGTATTCTACAAAGACATAAGGGACACATAGACAATTCCTTTTAGGATAAGATGATGCTTCTTTCACTAGCTTTTGTGGTAGGTATGGCTTCTAATAGCAGTTGATTGACAGTTATATAAATCCTGCCTATGTATCCAACTTCTTACACAATTCTTTCAAGTAGTAATGTTATCTTTATACCCTCCCATCTTCCACTTTTGATTCAAAAGAATTGGGAATTTTGTAGGAAAATAAAAACCTCTGAATTGTTCAGTAAACTAAAGCACCAAGTAATGGGGACAACTTTCTGGAAGGAAAAGAGCTGCTCATGTGTGGGAAAGCTTCCTAACAGAACTAGGAGTTAAGGGTGGTAAGACGTTTCTATTGTACATGAATCTTTTGTATAAGAATCTTTCAGTGGTGAGGGGAAAGGCTGACTGAATACCTTTTTTCATGAAACTTTCATTTTATTTTATACATCTCTGTTTTGTGCTTGGTGCCCATTTATTGAAAAAGAAGAGCAATATACACAAAGTTTCTGGGAATTCAGAATAGACGCTGATGCTTTGAACTTTACATATATTATGTATTAGAAAGAGCACATCTGTACATTGCTTAATAAACTATGAACATAGAGAAAGAATAACAATTTTAAAAATTGAGAATAGCAAGGTAACACATAAACTTCTGGAGAAATCAGGTAAATTGTGCTATACGGGAAGTTACTTCATCTTAATTATTTGTAAAAATTATATCCAATAATTAGATAGAGGTTCAAAGCCAAGAAAAATATCTTAAGCAAACCAGATATCTATGACCCCAGTGTTGGTTTGTTTATGAGGGATTTGAACTGCAGAATATACTAATTAATAAAAAACTAAAGATAAACAATAACCTACAATTTACCCCCAATTATTATTTTAGTTTGAGATACACAGGGCATTTGCTAATCTGTCACATGCAGCTTCTAGAGCTAAGGTGTCCAATATTATATCCACTAGCTAAATGTGGTTATTTAACTCTAAATTAATTAACATAAATAAAACTCAGTTTTTCAGTCACACTAGCCACATCCAAGCGCCGAGTAGCCACATGTGACTTGTGGCTACTATATTGGACAACATGGAACATTCCCATCATCACAGAAAATTTTACTAAATACTAATATGGAGCTCTTTCATTTCATTTCCCTCCCCTTGAAGAAAAAGGAAAAGGTGAAAAAAAGAGAAGATTTAATAGTTGTTGTCTATATCTAAGAATTTTGATCTCAGAGAGGCGTGATGGAATAATGAAAAAAAAAAAAGACCGCTGGCCCAGCTTTGGGTTGCCATTGTTATTCTGACAAACTCACTTTAGCCTCCACTCGTCGCAGTTTGCAGTTTGGGAAAATAAAAACATTTTTACCCTATAGTCCCTTCAAGATTATTGTTATGCATATTGACTAAATGTACAGATGCACTGACGTTTAAAACCTTCTGTCAGTGCGACCCAAATAAAACACAGCTACGGGTGCAGTACCAGCACACATTTGCATCCGTGTGGAACGGTGGAAAAAGCCCACCAATCCACAAAGCATTCAAAGACAATCACATCAGTACATTTCCTGAGAAAATGCCAAAAGAGAATACATTCAAATCAAAAAGCAAAATTGCTTAAATTTCTGTTTTCTCATCTCAATATTTTGTTTTACTATTTCCTCTGCATGACATCTCTCCCAGCTATCTGTCCTCTCCTGCACCAGAGCCCTCTGTGTTCACCCTGCAGCTGGCTCAGCTCTTCATTACGTAGTTGCTTTGCCCCTCTACCTTCTTCCCATTTCCCAGTTTATTCTTCACAGCAAAGGGAGGCCCAGAAGCTGACCAGCTGGCTTCTCTTTGGAAGGAAATACCTCAAACACAAACGTTTAAATATTTATTTTATCCCTATAACACAAAGATAAGGGGCTGTTACATTAAAATATAATTGCGCGGAACTTACTTTTAATTGTAAAAAACTTGCAAATGAATACTATATAAAAGGAATAAAATTAATTTAAATTATGCTAATATACAGATAATATATATTCTTGGATTAGTATAATTTATTGTTTTGGAAAAAAAACTTGTTATTTCCTCATTCTAAAAAAGAATATAAATTTTGGTGAAGCCCCTAGGGTCTATTGTATATTTGAGGAAAATTTTGCCAGAAGCCATGTTGTGGTTCAAGACAGTTCTGTTCCATGATAAGGAATGAATATTCAAATAAGGCTAACTGGGAAATTAGATCCTGTGGTTATGATTTCTTCCTCCTGTGAAATGTTATTTCGCTTTGCATTTCATCAGATATTTTTCAAGTATTTTATTACAATGTGCTCAACTAATTCTAAAAGATTGTTCTTGCTTTTCCTTTCTCATCGCTACCCCTACTCTTGGCTTCAGCATCTATGTGCCAGAATCGTGGGAGGTCATCTAATTCAACTTCTTCGTTTCACAGGTCAGAAAATTGAGGCCTGGTGAGAAAAGTAATTTTCCCATTGTCTGAACTAGGCCTTGAGCTTGAAACTCGTGTCAGGTTATTTCTGTTCTAATTCTCCTTGCCTACACCCCTTTGTCAGCACGTGAGGCCAACCAAGCAGCTCAGCAGGCACCGTCCCTCTAAGAGTCAGCTTTGTCTGCTATATGATTGTCTACTTGTTCTGCAGAACAGCAGGCCAATCTTGTGTCACGTTGCTCTCTCAAGAATGGTGCCATTTTTATAATCACCAGTGATTTCAAGTTCTACCTATTACAGGGTCTTTATTTGGGTTTTCAGGTTCCATTCCCCGCCTCGTACCTGTGACTGTCTAAGTTAACAATGCTATTTCTCTTTTGCCATTTAAAAATTTTCTGCCTTTGTTTCATTTCTTCCCCAATGTACCTGAAAATGAATAATCTTTATAGCAGGTTTCTTGCCATTTATATAATCAAAATTTTTATTTACATTTTAAACTGCCTGAACTTTATTGCCCTAAGAAGGTTTTGTTAAGCAAATATGAGCTCTGTGGGATTACCTGTTACATATACACTAATATTCCATTGTGTTTGTAAAGCACTTTACATTTTACAGAGCACTTTGATTCATTCCTGTATTTGTTCATTCATTCAACCACTCAATCAACGTAAATATTTATTGAGCACCTACAGGAACCAAGCTCCTGTACTAGATCTTGTGGTATATGAGTATAATAATAAATACAAATAGTGAGAGATCAGGCATGTCACTGATAATTGTATGGTGAAACCCTCAAACACAATTCGGCAAGTAGGTGCGATCAATATTATTACTCTATCCAATTTCCAATTCCAGTTTTCTATTCTCCTTAGATAAGGAATTATCAAGAATTTGCCTGAAGAATGTTTCTGAAATATGGTACATCGATGCATGCACATCTGTGTTATTTGCTGTATTTCAAATGATCTGTTAATTTCATTGATGAGAAAAGTTGCTTATTCAAAGTTGTCCCAGACTCAGGAGGACTTTTCAGGCCACTTGAATTCTTTCTGACTAAATATAATAGTTCACTTTCTTGCACCAATATTTCTGTTGTGCCTTTGTGAATTATTAACATTATATTTTTAAGGTATTCCAGAAGCACCAGTGTATGAAAGAAGCATTTGCACTTTAGGTGTGTATGGCTGTTTGTCATTTGTTAGACTGTCTCAGGTGTTCTCAACCTCAGCACTACTGACATTTTGGGACCCATTATTCTTTGTTGGGGAGTGGGGGTACAAGTTGTCCTGTGTGTTTGGCTCTTTGCAGGCTTCTATTAATTCTGTTAATTGTATGCCAGGAGCTCTGTCTCCTCGTCTTCTCTCTCTTCCCCCGACCCCTACTCTCTCTCTCTCTCTCTCTCTCTCTCTCTCTCACACACACACACACACACACACACACACACACACACACACAAAATCTAGTTGTCACAACTAATTTGCCCTAGGATGGGATTCAGAAATCTACTGGATCAGCTAGTGAGCTTAATTTTTATCATAGATAGGTTTTTATTTACAATAAGACGCAGAATCATAAACTCATTGCATTAGAAGGGAGTAAAAAGTCACTAATTCAGCCACAGTCCAACATCATCCTTATCTATTTCTCCATCTCTTGGTTTTACAAATTTATTGAGAGAAGATGGGAAAATTGGTTATCTCTGAAAACTTAGGAATTGACTTTTGGGAAGCTAGAGATGAGGCTGTTTGGCAGTTAGGTTTGCTGCTGTAATAGCTGCTGCAGTGATTTTTGCTTCAGTTTGTGGACTTGGTGTCACAAAACTCCAGTGTCTCAGAGAATTTGCTTTAGAGAGTTTTCTTCTGGTCACTGCACACATCTACAAATCTTGTTCCTTCATCTTTACCTTCAAAATGTGCAGAGAAGTTGAAGTTTGGTGCTTCTAATTTTAAGTATATTTGGTGAGCTTTCTATTTCTGATACTGATTTTTTATTGTCTCTCTGTGCAGAGAAAAAAAAACAAAAAACCTTTTCACTACCCCAAGTAGTTGACAATTGGAAGTTTCAGATCAAGCCAAAGTTCCTACTGATTTGATGTGCCTTATGTCAGTTTTCCTGTAGGTTAGTGATTTCCTATGGATAACCCTGAATCCATCCGTTTGTACTTGTGTCTTTTCTATACCAATTAAAATACTTCGTAAAGTTATACAAAGCCTGCCTCTTAAGAATATTCCCACTAATAACAACAACTCCCCAAATGGACTATCAAGTCTCCCTTTATTCCTTTGTTAAAAGATCAACCCAGACTTTGAAAGTAGTCATAATTATTGACAACAAGTCACTAGTATGGGTACACAATTGAAAGCCTTGATTACAAAGTCAAAGGGTATAGAATGTGTCAAGCACACCCAGAATGAGCTCTCATAAGACAATCATGGAAACCAGAAAACCATAACTTAGAGAGCCTCAAGTGTGTATATAATTTTCTATTCTGCTGCTGTCATATCAGACTATATGATATTACTTAACATTTTGATTAAGCAGATATTCAATTTCAACTTAAATTGTAATACAATTGCCTAATTATTGCCTCACATAACACTTAAACCATTTAGTGCCCACTGTTCTCACAATGATTATTACAAGAAGTAAGATGATAATTATGAGAATAAAGTTATATAATTTCTTCACTCATTTCTCCATAGAAGTTTATGGAATACATCATCATTTGCTTCTTAATGTTAATTCTTGTTAATTCCAGATCATTGTTCACACTGTAAGATTCTATGTTACTTTAAATCCAGAATAAAAGGCTGGAAAAAATAATGCAAATCCTATGCTGGTACTCATCATTTTCTAATTTCTAAGATTTATTAACACCTGAGAATTACTAAAAAAAAACAATCTCTCCTAACAAAACACAGTAAAAATTTTGGCGTGGCAGATAGCGACGTGTTCATTTTTAAACACAGCCTCTCTTTTCCTAAGCATTACAAAAATATATATTTATATCACTCATCATGAAGCTATAAGCCTTTTGTGTCTATGGAATAGACACATAGCATGAAACTAATTTTAGAAGTTTGCTATGTGAGGAAAGATATAAAAATAAGAGTGGGTGGATGGGGATGATTCACAGAAAAAATAAAGATCAAAATATGGTATCAGGCAGAGTTTTCAACTTCTTCACAGTAATGTGCAAATAAATATTCAATTAGGGTCATCTCAAATTTAGGTCATTCAGCTACTGGAGCACAGACCCTGCAAGCTATGCTAGAAACACGTAATATACGGAAAGTAAAGGATGCCCCCAAACCCACCTCTACCTCTACGGTGCCAATCCCAAATCACTGAGGCCTTTGCTGCAGGGACCTGGGTTGCTTACGGTCAGGTAGTGACCAAAAAGAGACTTCCCATTTATCTTCCTCTGACTTATAGACCATGATCTTTTGTTTCCTTATACCAGAGACCATGTGGAAGCCCTAATACACAGGCAATAATAAAAATAAAAAATTTTTTCTTAAAAATAATTTTTTTGAGCAAAAGATAAAGCACACTTTTAACTAGGGCCCCACAGCAGGATCTCTGTGAAGTTCGACCGTCTCAGGACCTTGGCTCCAGGACTGTTGCGTAGGCGTAGCCGTGAGATTTTTGTGGTCATTTTAAAGGTGTTTAAACAAAAACATTCTCGGATTGTCGTATCTGTAGCAGGGCGATAAAACCTCAAAGTTAGTGTCCTCCATCAGGCTACTCAGAAAATACCATTAAGTGAAATCAGAGCTTCCCTTGCTAAGAAACGTTAAAATCATTTTAGGGAAATAAATTAAGTTTCTTTGGACAGACCTTTTGTGTATATTATAACTAAATCTTGGGGCCCTAGCTGAGAGGGGAAAGTCTTTCATAAGTTAGTCAAAACACATCTTTCATTTGCCTCATTTGAGGCATTTGGACAGTGCCTGGGAAGTGCACTGTTTTCAGAGGGAAAAAGAGACAGCCTTTTTTGCATGCCAGCTGGGATCATGGGAACTCCCAGTGCCAGGAATTTACTACTGTTTCTGGTAACTCTCTGCTTGTAGTAATTTGAAATGTTGAAGTGTGAAAGGAGAAGCTGGGCACCCAGGGGCTGTCTGTGTTTTATGCCAGTTGCACCAGCGCACAGAATATTTGTAAATGCATTTCGAAGTGGTTATAATTGTAGCCTTTGTCAGAATCACAAAGCCCACTGTCGTGCTGCTGAGAGAGAACACTGCAGGGAAATCTGACCCTCTCAACCCAGGCAACCTCAAACAAGGTGGGGAGGACTGTGTGGGTGAGCACAGCACACTGCAAGTTTGTTTCTCACTCTTTTCCAAAGTATAGTCTGTCCATCAAATCAAGGACGTGTCTTTCAGGCAAAGGTTAATTTTGCAGAAGTTTTCCAAGATTTCCTTTACGACAGGGCTTGGAAAACCGAGAATTTTGCATTTACTCCAGTCCTCTGGGCATCATTTCTCTTTCCTTTGCCGTGTTAACGAGACATTCTGAGGCTGCATTCTTTCATGAAGAGAATAACATATGCATTCTCCATGATGACCTCATGCTTGATGTACCTGAACCTGCAAATGTAAAAATGATTGTATCTGAATTTGCACTAATGGTTTCTGATAGCAGAAGAGGTATAATCCTTACTGATATCTACTGTTTAAATTCAGTAATTCAGATGCTACATACTTCTGCAATCTTCTTGATTCTTTTCACTGTAAGAATCATTATCTAAGTTTGAATGTATTTCCTTACAGCCCGTTAATTTGCCCTCTCTCTTTTACCTGGAGATCCTATGATTGCAATAATTCATTAAAGTTTTCCTCACACAGCTTCTTAAGCCCAGTTTTCCCATAAGTCTTCTGATTCTGCTCACAGTATATGGGAAATCTTTTCTTTTTTTTTCCCTGGTAATGATTTTGTAAGAAAGCCAGTGTATCTACCGACTGCCATGGTGACATGATGCATCTTTAAAGGTCTGGAAGCGGGTGGGGACCCAATGTTACCTGTGTTCTCTGTGTCGAATGCTATTTTCAGAATTAAATCCTTTTTTTTTTTCTCACTTTTGGTTGAAGTCAACAAATTTGGGATTTTAGAAGGCGGAGAAGGGAACAATTTGTGTAATACTGCTGTCATATTTAACTACATATTAAAAACAATAAATGATCATTTTGTTTTAATTTCTTAAATATGTTTATCCTTGTCTGTCAACATACTTTTGTTTCCTTTCCACCATTAGTTTTAGAAACATTTTACCTATTGTGGAAGAAAATCAATGAAGTGTCCAGAGCTACAGACTAATGACAAAAATCCTTTTACTTCTAATCCTGTCCTAGTGTGGAGACTGACACCAACTAGAATGAAGTGTCGAAAATGAAAGCCCTAGAATGGCATAGATGCAGCCAAGTGGAGATTTGGTCCCTCCCCACAACCCACAGGGCCCAAATGTTGCGTTCTTCTAGGTCAGAGAGGTGGGCTTTTAGCTGCCCATTTTAATCCAAGTGCTGGAAGTCAGGGAGTTTCAGTGCAGCTCTTGCCTCTGTCACTTGTCTTGGTTTATGAGCTCTAATGACTTTCCAAGTGAGTTACTGAAGTTTCTCAAATATTCCATCCCCTTTCCCAAACTGGAAATGATTGTACCTATTTCTCAGGGGCTTTCGGGTGTGTGCCTCAGCTAATTTATGCAGAATGCCTAAAACAAGATGTTATGACTTCCAAATATTCTTTGCCTGTTTCCTCATCCACCACCCTTGGACTTGAAGAACCTGTCCTTTTAAGAACCACCAAATGCACACAGGCCTGAATCAAGGGCCTGGCAGCAGGTGCCAGAAGCTCCCGGAAAGTCTGCTCACAGGTGGAGCAGTTGCTCTGTGCGACTGATTTTTTAAATCTTACCTCTGTATGGAACTTTTAGGCTGTATTGCTTATACTTTGATATCATGCAGTAAATTCAGAACTGCAATTTTAAATGGTGTCAATTGTCTTTATGATGCCAAAAGGGCAAAATTACTGCTGCAATTCATGTAACTGTCCCTACCAATAGACAAAACATTTAGGTCAGTAATTTTAAAAATCATTCATGTGTGCCATTTCTTTAAATAATGCAGTGCAAGTGTTAAAGAAAAATGCTACTGACAACCATACAACTTTTAAATTAGCTGTAGGTATATCTCCTAGGAATATGGAAACCACATCTTTTCCTCATAGATCACCTATTTCAGAATCAGAAACTTCTGACAGGCAGTTGGGAGTGTTTTCCCCTCAGTTATTTTAACTGAGCATCTATTAAATATCTAACCTATGGTATAAAATCTGCTTGACTCCAAGTCTACAAAAACAAAAAAAGACACAGTCCCTGATTTCAGTTAGCCTACAATATAGTGGGGGAAACAAACATTTAAACAGATATGGCAAATAATGGATTAGAGGTCCCAGGATAGAAATATTTACATGATACAGTGACGTCACAGCAAAGGGAAGAGTTCATTCAGTACAGAAGGGGTCAGGAGACAGAGCAAATGATATTGATCTTGGTCTTGACAGGTGAGTAGAATTTTACCAGGGACAGCGCAGATATGTTAGGCCACGAGGCTGTGAGCAAGGGGATTGGCTGTGACAGAGAGAGCAAGGAGAGGGTGGCTGAAGAGCAGGCCAAGGAGCGAGGTGAAACCCTGATTACCTCCACAGGACTTCAGAGTCTTATCTTCAAAGCAGTAGTTGCCATTGAAAGTTCTGTACAGAGGGGCCATATCATTCAAACTATTTTAGAAATTTCTCTGAGTAGGCAAAGTAATGGGTGAATTGCAGGGGAGAGCGCTGGGAGAGCCTTCCAGGGACAGCTGCTCAAGTCCGGCCACTGCTCCAAAACTACTATTTTTACTTAGTCTTCAGATCTTCACATCTCCAGATTTTCGGCCTCTACTAATAAAACCCAAGCCCATGAGCATGTGTGAAATGCCCACTCCCTTTCAGCAAATTATACATCCCTTTCCCCCCAAAGTAACAGCACAGCACAATTTGCCAGATTTCCATGAGGAATCAGCTAGACCTGTCAAGGTACACCAATCTATACAACAACAAGCTAGACAATCAAGACCACCTGAAGTAAAGTTAACTTTCCTCCTCAATGAGAATAAAACAGGATAATGACACATACCAGTTTCCTTCTGGTCAATATAAACATAATTAATTTATTTGAGGTTTGAGTTTAAGGTATTATCCATGAAGTAAATGATCCAGTGTTTTCTGTTCTTTTGTTTTTTGGTTTTTGTTTTGGTTGTGAATTTGTATAAGGCTAATACTTACCCCACCAAGTTGTCCTCAGAATTAATGAATTAGTAAATGCTCTGTGGTTATCACAAAGCTCTGTGAATCTGAGTTAAAGAAAGAAATTGGCAAGATCAGATGGTTTCACTTCCAGGACACCAGAGGCACGACGGAGGAGACCTGCACCAGGGGCACCATCAACTGTTACAAAGTGCAGAAGCAGATCTCACATCCAGTGGGAAGACAACAAAAGTCAAGATGCATAAAAACTAGTGACTAAGCCTCAGAGATGTGAAGCAGTCCACAGCAAGAAGAGTCCAATGCAAACTGCCTTTGGATAATTTGAGAAAATATTGAAGCATTTCAGAGCCCGCCAAGGGAGCAGATAAATATGATTTAGTCATCAGGTGTCAGTCATGAAACCAGTTGGTTCCCATTAACCTGACTCTGCTTTTAAAGATTGTGGCCATGCACTTCAACGCGTTCTCGTTATGAGGGCGTGCCCTGGAGATGTAAAGAGCTTGTAGAGGCACAGAACCCAACATTTGCCTCCTGTATGCCTCCCACTTACAGGAAGTGAGATTTCATACCTGTACCCGACTACCCTGGGGTGGAGCAAGAACATAGGCAGGGCAGAGAGGTGGGCAGCAGGAGGGGGAAGAGAGGCTTGCCAAAGGGAAACTACCACCTTAGCTGATGCTGATTCCCTGATGCAGGCAGTGGGAATGTTAAGCAACGTCATCTACACATGTGCTTCTTCAACTCTAAGTGTAGGGAAACTGTAGTTTTTGGAAGTTTTAAAAATGTGTCAGATGGCTTCTCAGCCTTTTGGCTAAGATCAAGTGCAGTATCTGTTCTTATTAGTTTAATATCTGATACATCCTCTATCCAAGGACATTATATTAAATGGATTTTTGGAGCTGGGAGATGGAATAGGAGCCTGCTCCGTCCACTCCGCACATCGACCCGGTATTGCAGTACTTCCGGGAACGGTGCACCAAAAAAACAAAACAAACAAACAAACAAACAAAAAATGTGTCAGAAAAGAAAACCAGTGAGGGTCCTTTAGAGTCTGCAACTCTAGGCCCTGTAGGGACTCCACCCTCCACACAGTGACTGGCTTATTATTTTCTGATTCCTACCAATTTGAAGACACACAGAAATGTTTTTGGTCACCTAGAGTAAATACATTTCATAAATGCCAACATCTCTTGATAAATGTTAATTGGCTCCTTGTAATGTGCATTCCTCTTAACAGCCGCAACAAACTTTACTTGGAACTTTTACACTTCTTCCAGATATTCTCCTGACAATTTTTTCAGGGAACTTTACAAATATTTGGGGGTTACAGAGTAACAATGGGCTATTTTTCTCCCCAGATTTCTCTGTACAATTGCAAGATTTCCTTCAGAAAGGATTTATCGTGGCATTAACATTGAGATAGAACGTGAAGGAAAGTTCTCCAACTGCAGTTTGGCTGTTAGCCTAGAGGATGAGATGCATAAATTATTCTAAATGTCATAAGACCTTGCATTTTATTTCCTTCTAGAACGTTTTAAATCTGCATCAGAATGCCTTGAAGTGAGATACTGAAAGAGCAAGAGCATATTGCAAGAAACAGAACTAGTAACTTGCAGAAAAAAATGAAGCATCTTTTTGTAAAATGATGTCATTTAGAATTTAATTAGTTATCTTTTTTTTTTTTTTTGGAAGAAATGTCTGTTACTTGAACAAGACCAGAGATCTCAGTGGGTTAGGCAGTAACCCAACAAATAAGACAAGAGTACTGTTGTTAGAGAAAAAAGGGAAAAGGAGGACTTCAATATCACAGGAGACTCCCCGTGGCACAGAGCACAATAAAGGGGCGGTGAGGTTGCGGGGTATGCGGAGGAGAGGAGGAGTCATGTGGCTTTTCTATTGTTTTCTGTGGTGCCCCGATATGAAGCTCTATTGAGGCTTTGGGGTAGGGAGGAGTTCCTTTCCTTCGCATAGATTGCTGCAGTCAGTTTGCTTTTCTTGACATAAAACCGCAACTGAGAGCTGACCTGGCTAGCACTCAGGGCTCAGAGAAAGGCATGGGAGCATTCAGTTCCCCCTAAAACAAGAAAGAAGGTCCAGTGATAATTGCTTTTTGCCCTTCTAATAAATGTCCAATCAGGATCCCCTTATTATCAAGAGCTTCCTCAGAAGCATCTCTTCTCAAGTTTACACACGTCAGTTTCCTGAGATAAGTTTTCTCTCTCCGCCAATAACATGAAATATTAGGCCATCAGACACCCATGTAGCTATCAAGCAATGAACTCTGTGACATCTCTCAACTGAACTTCCAGAGCCTGGGGTTCATTTACTGATGAAATGAGGGTTGAAATAGTACTAATTTTCTAGGATTGCTGTGACAAATAAATGACCTAAAATATTTAGTGCTGTATTATGCCATAACACTCAATAAAAGTTACTAGTTATGCCATCATTATTGGTTTTCATGAAAGATGCATTGATTCTGGTAGCAAAAATGCTGTCTTGATCCTTAAGAGGATAAATGTAAGGCCAAAAACAAAGAGGAACAATGAACTGAAAGAACTAGAATTGCACAAGAGGAAAGCTACTCTCCTTAGACTGTTCCTCTTCTTGCTGCAAGTCCCATTTCTCTCCACTATCTTTGTCAGTCTATTCTTTATCCATTTGAAGAGATTTGTCAGAGTGAAAAGGAGGTATAAACCTCAGATATGAAAAATAAAAAAAATGCCAAAGCACAATAAGGAACCTTTACTAAGAACATTTGGTTATAGAATTTAAAGAAGTGCCTGCATACACACACACAATTGACCTTGAAAAACACCAGCTTAGTCAAAAATTCATCTGTACCTTTTGACCCCAAAAACTTAACTACAGTTGCCCAGAATCCT